CATCATGGTGAAAAGCTAAAAGAAAGGTGTTGTAAGGCAAAAGTCCCCAAAGAAAATTTATTTCTAGATTTATTTTACCATCATCAACATTACATATTTGAAAAAAAGAATCAGAAGACACGCGTAGGTTCACTGGTGGCTCTGGATATTAAATAAAATAGCTATATTTGTGTTGCATACATCGTGACCCCTGGTTCCTATCACCACCACTGCAAAGAAATCTGAGTCATGTTCTACAATGAATCATTTCACATCAAACCACGCGGAATGACTTTGTTTACATTACAGCCACTGAATTACACAGAAATTTTGAAAAATCAGTGGAATTCCCCTTTAAGCTTCGCTGAAGCCAAACTTATTTTCAGGAACGGTTCCTTTGGCAGATAAAGGAAAAAGTCGAGAGACATTTGCAGACAATTTAACAGTAAGGCTGCTAAAACCGGCAAACCTATTTGCTCTGTGACCCTGACCACCAGCCAGGCCCTCACCATTAACTTAGATTAGCCAAACGTCAAGAGCCACCGTCTGAGAGAGAGGGAGCTCGACAGCCAGCTAATGGCTGAGCTAACGTAGCTGACATGCTAACGAAAGCGATTAGTTGAAGTTAAAAAAGCTGAGCAGGTCCTCAATTTTCTCCCTAACACGCTAGCCATCTCCTTTACCTCCTTTTGCCGTTTCATTCAGCAAACAACTCAAGCTAGCGCGTGTAACAACGAAGCCAACACTATGAAGCGCCGTCAAAAAGCAGCTAGCTAGCCGGTTTTAATGTACGTTCCTCAGCACGGCATGCGAGAGCCGTGCTAAATGCTGGCTAGCCAGTTCAAGTCCCACAGTCGTGCTTTATAACAAAAGACCTTTGTTGGCAAGGCAGGTAGACATGACTCCACGCAGGTTTAAACAATTTAGTAAGCTGTCGTGTCCGACATGCCGCCACGGACACTGAAGCGCTAGCTCGGCTAGGTAGCAACGTACAGCCTTTTCGATGAAACCCACCGGCTAATGCCGATAGCTATGCTACTAGCTACTTATCTTAAGATAAGTGTGCCCTTACAGTTAAGCTAAGATTGTCAGTTTGGCCACAAACGAACATCACATTACTTATCAGCAAGCACATTAAGAACAAAAACCAAACACGAACGTACCGATATCAATGAGAGAGTCTGAAACTTTCCAGAAGAAAACCAAAATCAATGTCGCAGAAGCATGTACGGCTAGCACGCTAAACTGAACAAGTCAATCAGTCAGCAACACTGGGGCTACTAGGGCCGCGGCCCAATATGCATATTTGTGTTCTAACGAGGGTGCCTAGCTAGTGCGTAGAGTTTTGGCTGCCTTTGGCGGAAAACACAAGTGCGCACAAGCTAAGCGTCCTAAGTAAGTGCACTGGTACGCATGTTGGAACGCAGCCGAGGACGAGGAAAGAAAGGCAGCGGAGAAAGGGGAGCGGGAAGTCGAGTGACTGGCAGATACCGCAGCGAATCGGATGGTTCAAAAGTGAAACGGGGTCCCGCCTCCTGAAACAGTTTAAAGTTTAATGATAATATAATGAAACACAGAGTGTGCAAGGAGACACCACCCACCTAGTCTGAAAAAAGACAAAAAATAACGCCTGCCATTGTGCAACTGACGCCCCTCCTCATCCATCCTATTTGGATGAATGTTGTTTGGGCTATTAATCACAACAGATATTGTAATTCTATGTATAGTATCCATAGAGATGTAACACTAAATGGGTTAAGATGTGTCAGAAGTTCAACTAGTTACAATTACAGGCATATATAGAACTACTTTGTTTCAGATAAACAAAGTTGACAGCCTAACTACAGTATAGGTTAAGCAAACAGAAAAAAGTAAGTAGAGTTAGCCTACAGATCATAATAATTTCAATTAGCCGTCCATAAAAATATATACACATTAAGCATTATCGTTTTACTGTGGGGGGCCTTGTGGGTTAACAAAAGGGGCTCAAATGTTCCCACACATTAAAATCAATATATAACTTAATCAAGTAAAATGCAAACCATGGTTCATTTCAGCCAGAGATGTTCACCTGTAAACATATAAAGTGTTAAAGGGGAGTTCCACCAATTTTTCACAATTTCTGAATAATTCAGCCCTTGAGATGTAACCAGAGTCATTCAGAGTGTTTTGATGTGAAATGGTTAATTTTAGGGAAACTTACAGTCTCTTATTTCTTTACAGTGGTGGTGATAGGAACCAGGGCTCACAATGTCTACAACACAAATGCCGCCATTTTATTTAATATCCTAAACCACCAGTGAACCTATACGTGTCTTCTGAGCTTTTATATGTAATGTTGATAATGGTAAAATAGTCAAAAATCAGAAAGAATACGTTTTGTTTGTTTGCCTCCACCATGACTGGATTAAAATAAATGAATCAAAACACATTTTAAGCCAGAATTTTATCGTAAAACAATGTGTCAGACATCAGACAGCATATTCATAACCATTTCATGTAATAAGCTTCTGTGAGGGAGGTTTTGAAGGCATTAAACTCTTCAGATGTCTGGTTCCTATCGCTACCACTGTCAAGAATTCTGACTCAGCAAGTTTCTCTAGAGTGGAACATTTCACACCAAACCACCTGAATGATTTTGTTTACATCTACATCTACATTTCATTTAATTATGGGCGTTAAATTCATTGATAAAGAAAGTGCTAAAGCTGTTGTAACTTCATTGTGCTGTGTTTAATTCTGACTGTTCCTTCTGACTTGTCAATCTAATTGTGATGTTCGTATTGATGGTACTACTAAAGTACAAGACTGGGCCTTATCAGAATCAGAATCAAGCTTTATTGGCCAGGTATGCTTACACATACAAGGAATTTGGTTTTGGTTACAGGAGCTCACAGTGCACAAGTATCTGACAAACATGTACATGTAGTGAATAAAATAAAATAAAATAAATATAAAATAAAGCAGAATAAAATACAATAAAATACAATGCAAAAAAATAAAATAAAACATGCATTCCTACCATCACTCACTCATACACACATACACACAGTCATACCTGTAACCTTTACATTGTGCAAAGTATGGGTCTAAAGTTAAAGTGCTGAGTGCAGCAGCAGTTAAAGGGTGTATAGTGGCAAAGAAAGGGATCAATGAGGGAGATAAGTGGGGTAATATGGCAGGTAAGTAAGATGCTAGAATAAACACTGGTCTCAGATGGAAGTTTTCCATCAGCTGGAATATTTTAATGTGTAATACTTTTCATTCACCAATGTCTTCCTTAGTTTTTTTCTTAAGTTTGTTCTTGAGAAATGTCCTAAGAAAAAGTGTACATCAGCCTCATGATGTGTTCTTAAACTGGAGAATTGTTCGCACCTTTGTGTGTGTAGATTCTGTTCTTACCTTAGAACAAATCCCAAAGTAGAAAAGACTGTTGAATGTCAGAATCTTAGTGAAAACTGCTTGAGTGGGTTTTAAAAAGAAATTTCTTCTTAAGAACAGTTGGAGAATGAGGTCTATTGTTAACATCTTAAACTTCAAAATCTTGCTTTAATTTAACTAATAGGGTAAAACTGCAGAACCTTTGTCCCATTATTGATGGTCGCATCAGGGAGAGTTGTGTGGGGTTTTTTTTAAACATGAATTTAATGGAGATGGATGGTTTTATTCTCCACACTAAATACCCTAGAATAATAAAATGCCAGATGTTACAGGGCACTGACTGCTGACAAAACCCGCTGTGAATTTAGAAACGTTTCTCCTCTGCTCTGCACGATTGTAAAAATACAGGCAAAAGTGGCTGTGTTTTGAAAAATCTCAGCGTTACTGATGCATGAAAATACTCCTACAATAAAAAGGATTTTAATGGAGTCAATTTCGGTCGCATAAGAAACAAAAAAGACCATATAGTCTGTCATAATAATGACTTAGAGTCTCATATTGATGAGAAAATTTTTCCCATAATCATGAGATGCTAGGTCATAATTCTGAGAAGCTAAATCAGAGTTATGAGAAAGTAAGTCATAATTATGAAATGCTAAGTCATAATTATGAAAAAGTCATGAGATGCTAAGTCATAATTATGAGAAAGCAAGTCATAATTATGAGATGCTAGTCACAATTATGAGGAAGTAAGTCATACCTATGAGTTACTAAGTCATAAATATGAGAAGGTAAGTCATAAGTACAAGATGCTAAGTTATAAGTATGAGAAAGTAAATCATAAATATGAGATGCTTAGTCATAATTATGAGAAAGTAAGTCATAAGTAAGAGATATTAAGTCATAATTATGAGAAGGTAAGTCATAATTCTGAGAAAGTAAGCCATAACTATGAGTTACTAAGTCATAATCATGAGAAGGTAAATCATAAGTACAAGACGCTATGTTATAATTATGAGAAAGCAAATCAAATATGAGATACTTGGTCATAATTCTGAGAAAGTAAGTCATAAGTATGAGAAGGTAAGTCATAATTATGAAACAGTCATGAGATGCTAAGTCATACTTATGAGATGCTAGTCACAATTATGAGAAAGTAAGTCATAACTTTGAGTTACTAAGTCATAATCATGAGAAATGAAGTCATAATTATGAGATGCTAGTCACAATTCAAAGATACTAAGTCATAATTATGAGATTAAATCTCATTATTATGAGATACTAAGTCATAATTATGGCATAGTAAGTCATAATTATGAGAAAGCAAGCCATGATTATATGATGCTTTGTCAATTAGGAGATATTAAGTCATAATTATCAGAAACGTTCTCATTATTACACCTTGATAAATGGCTATATATTTTTTTCCAGTGTCTTCCACGGGTTTTACTGCACCATAGCAGCCCGGATGTGGCTTGTATTTACCGACCTCTCCGCAAAAAACGACTGACCGCATTAACCAGCGGCACCGAACTGCAGACAATAGAGGGGTTTTAATAGAGCACTTTCACGGCGCGCTCTGGTTTGTCGCGCGGATATGACGCAAAGCGCTAGTGAACTTTTCCACACTGCCGCGAAATGTCAAATGGTGCAGCACGCGCGCAGTTTTGATGTAAACAACGTGTGCGATTAGCTGCAGTGCTAACGGGTTACGAAACGTCCATTATAGGTTTTAATTTCGAAATAACACTTCAGTTGCGTGTATATAACGTGAATAGCTACAAGCGCTTTTAAACGGTAGAAACTGAGCCTCTTTCGTCTGGGAAGTTTGTTAGCCAGCTAGCGTCTCTTGTCAAAATGTTGTGCCGTTGCTATTCCGTGTCCTCTGCGTTCGTTTTCAGCCTCACGCTTCTGTGTTTTTAGTTTTCTATTTTTATTTTTAGTTGAAACTGTAAAAAGGGCGAGAGAATGATAAAAAGTCAGCACAAGCTCTCGGCAGAATCCTTCCAAGGCAAGGATGAGGACCTGCTTCTTTTACCAGAGAAGTTGCAGAAGAGACTGCTGGCGTTTCAGCGGGAGGGGGTTAAATTCGCCCTCTCCAGACATGGAAGGTCAGTGAACGCTGTCAAAATCATTAACAAATCGTAGTGAATTTCATTAACGTTACAGTTACACGTTAACGTTACCATTCAAAGGGGAGTTCCACCTGTTTTTCAAAATTGATGCATAGTTCAGTCACTGAGCTGTAAACGAAGGCATTCAGAGTGGTTTGATGTGAAATGGTCTGTTGTACTCACTTAAAAAAGAAGGTTCTTCAAGGGTTCTTTAGTAAAGGGAGTGGTTCTGTTTAGAACCATGAGTTCTATGTGAAATCATTTCATGCTTAAATGCTTCTCTGCATGTTTTTGGAACTATATAGAACCTATTTGCGTATGGTTTTTGGTGCTATTCAGGAAGGTTCTGTATAGGACCATATACAACACATTCTCCATCAATCTGAAGAACTATTCCACCATGTAAAGTACCATTTGGCCATGAAATGGTTCTAAATAGTCATTCCCTTTACTATAGAACTTTGAAGAACCATATTTAACAGTGTATAGAGATTGATTCTTTACAGTGGTGGTGATGGGAAGTAGGATTTGTCAACACAAATGGAGATATTTTGTTTACTATCCAAAACTACCAGTAAACCTACACACAGCTTCTGAGTTTTATATTATGTAATCTGGCTAATAGTAAAATAGTGGTAGTTCTGAAAAACTAAGTATTCTTTGGGGACTGTTTTGCTTTACAATGGCCTGCATGTACCTCTCCACTGAGGTTGGGCTTTAAATTATGTTTAAAGCCAAAACCTTAACACAAAACAATGTGTCAGATATCAGACAGTGTATTCGGACCTACTTCATGTGCTAACTTTATGTGAGGGAGCCTTTAGAAGCGTTCAAGTCTTCAGACATCTGGTTTCTGTCACCACCACTGTAAACAATTTTGACTGTTAAGTTTACCTAGAATGGGGCATTTCACAACAAACCATTCTGAATGACTTGGACATTAAATTGTAGAAATTTTGAATTCTCCTGTAAGTTCAGATCTTACTCTCTCATGTGTTTAATGGGATGATGGGGTTAAAGTAGCCCTTTCCAAACACACAAAGTCAGCAAACACTGTAAATACATTAACTTTTATTAAAATGCACTTACACGGTCATGTTCTCATCTTGATTAACCTCAGGCCTTATTCTGCTGCACTTTAGCTATAGGGGTCAACTTTGCCCTCTCTATACATAGATAAGTGATCACTGTGAGTACATTAAAACAGCTAACTTTTCTTTATAGTACAATTACTTGTAGTGTCCTTATCATCATCTTATTCTGATGCTGTTTCACCATGAGTATGTCCAAATTGGCCCTCTCCTGGGACAGAAGGTCAGTGGATGCTGTGGAAATCCACAAAAATATAACTAGATAGTCTTTATTATTAACAAATGAATAGTTTCATATCACCATCTTGTTTAAATTTAAATCTTATCCTACTGCCTTTTCAACATGAAGGAGTCATGTTCATGTTTTCCAGAAATGGCAGGACAGTAATGTGTGAATAATCATGCCTAAGTATTGCAAAATCCTAGTAAGAACTAGTGAATGTTAGCTAGGGCACTTTAAAGTCAACCTAAAATCAAAATGGTCATTTTGTCCCTTTAAGTTAATGTTTTTAGTCATATTAAACCCAATCAGTTGTGTCGTATTGTTCAAAAGACAAAATTCTTATCTTGACATAATCTTTGATCCAAGTGTATTGAGTTTTGCCCCCCTCTAAATGCCACCTGTTTGCAATAGTGTGTTCCAGCAGCAGAGAAAAAAAATGATACTAACCAATAATATCTTAGCATGTTTTCTCTTCTCTTCCCACCACCTGCACCTATCATCAAATGAGAACACCTGTCATCACCTCTGTTTCCGGCTGTACATAAATGTATGTCAGCGCACAACCTCCTTTGTTTGTGTCACTTTATTCTCTCACTTTCACTCTTGGTTTTCGTACTGGGTGTAAAATAAATAATCCTGTGTTTTTTCAGTTAGTTTATGAGTGAGATGGTTCAAATATCTGTCCGTATTTCCTGCCACGCTGGGAGGCTGTAAGGCCGAAAGGCAGGTTGTCTGATGAAGCAGCAACTTGACACACTGTCCACTTTTTCCTCACACACATCAGGTAGTTACACCAATTTATTTTAATGATAACCTGACCTTTATTTTTCCTGAAGTTTTTTTTCTTAGTTTTGTTGTGAAGGTTTAAGAAAAGCTAAAGCAGTGTGGCTGCTAAAAGGCTCTCATTCTTACCAAATAATAATCATGGTTCAGAAAGGACTTAAGTTTTGACAACCTCTTTATTTATTTATTTTTTTTTTCCCTTTGGCTATTCTGCTAAACGGACAGATGCTGATAGCCATCAGAGTCTGACGAATAAAGTCATGTCCCACCTGTGACTTTTCTCATCCAAGTATCCTGTTTCGCTCAGAAATATGTCACGTTAAGGAAGAAAAATGCATTCTGACACGTTGACTTTAACTAGCAAGGCTATCGAACTTGATGGACTGGCGTAAGAAAGATGATAATCAATAATTTGCTCAAATAAAAAGTTAGAAACAAAAATCATATATATGATGTCCCCAAAATGAAATTGTAGGTGCTCCAGTTGCTACTTTGTTCAGTTGCCTATGGAATGGTCAGTGAACGATGTGCACATAAATGATGTACGTATTTTTTGATTATACTATAATTACATATTATAGATTATACCTAAAAAAGAACTAACTCACATTATGCTACAACTACATGTTCTTATCCCCGTCTAGGTTATATTGAGGCCTTTCTCTGTGAGCCTCTCTTGCTGTTTAAAACCTGTCGTCTCCATCCGAAATGTATTTAAGGGAAAGGAAAGAGATTCTTCAGCCAGCTAACGCCAGTGAGTGATTAAGAGAGAGCAGACGTTGTAATTTACTCCAGCTCCTGGTCGATCTGAGCCCCGGTGGCGGCGGGTCAGAGAAGCCAGTCAAGAGATCCAGTGATGAGGGGGCCAGATCAATAGCAGGACACGGGAAGCTGTGTTCGCTGGGGCCGAGGTCAGGCAGTTAATTAGAGCTGCAGTGAGAGAGCCGGGCTCCGGTGCATCTTACGCCAGTCTCCCCGAGGACCAGCGGCTCTCTAATACTGATAAAGAGGATTTATACCACTTTCTTTACTGAGAACAGTTTGAAGACTACACTGCAGCTAGTGCCGCCACAATGCCATGATATCAATGCCAGTAAGTGAAGGATCACAAAGCTGGATGCCTAAATGATACAAAAAATGTAAAAAAACATTGTCTGAGACATCTCTGATTAACACCTCTTCAAATGAATCTAATTAGTCACTAAGTAATTTAAACAAGGCCTCGAACATATTCTGAAAGGAAAACTAACAGTGAGACAAGTGCATACCATACAGACTCACATTCATCACTGTGTTTAAAACAAATAAAAAAGGTTACTCTTCATCTGAGTGTTTTAGTCTCTGCTAGTGCTGGCTAATTATTTTCTAATTAAACAGTTTTACAGCAGGTTTTAGACTTGACAGCGCAAACAGCAGTTCGGTGGTCTCACAATACAGTGCAGGAGCTGCTGTGAAACTGTGACACCAACAAGATCATCACATTTAAGTAAACTATTATTATAACTATAGTTTAGAACACTGTAGGAAGTGGGAGTGTGTGATTGGACTGGCTCTCTATGGAGTTAACACTTCACTTGTGCGCAAGCGGAAAAAAATAGGCTTGCATTTTGATGGGCTTAAGACACACGTCTAGCGCAGCTGGTATGGACTGAAACACTGATTAAAATGGGAGCTTATTTGTTCTGTCAGACGTACAAAAATGGAAGAATTTAGTATTTATTTGGAAACAGCATTCGAAGCCTATAAAATGCGCACACTACCTTATTATTATCATGTTAATTGATGTGTTGTGGTTAGTTCATATAACCATTCTAGTGCCTCACACTCATTTCTCACACCCACTATAGGTTTGTAATTCAAAAGAAGGATCATTCAGGAATCTATATCAAAGTATTGGTTTTGCTATCAAAAACTTTGAGCAGCACATGGCCCTAGTCTCCATCTGAGTCAGCAGTCTGATTCACACAGGCAGAAAACACTGTAGTGTTAACCTATTTAAATAAAGAATTTATTGTACTGGATGTTTAAGTATTGAATTGCTTACCACTTTGTACTATTGATTGAACATTGATCAAACCTTTCAATACCTGATTCAACAGAAGCTGCAACACCTTCTAGTCAAGGACTTGGATGTTTTTGTGACTGCCCTTACCCTGTTAGGTACAGCTCACACAACGCATTTGACTCAAATTTTCCCTCAGACTTTACAATGAGACTATTTTCGTACAGCACTATAATTCAGTGCAGTGCAAGATAGATCGTTTAAGTTTTTAGCTCCAAGTTTCTTCCCCATGCATATGTTTTGTGATTAATTCTAATACATTCTTTTTTATGTCTGTCAGTGGCTGAAATTAATGTATTCTTTACCCACAGTTTACATATTAATCCTATGGAGAAGGGATACTGTGCTGTAATGTAGGTTTGTGTCAAATCAGAGCCACATATTCCCCAAACATAATGAGTGATGAATTAGGCTGATCACATTAATGAACTCTTACAGTATCTGCTATGAATAATGTTATTGCTAGCAACTCTATTTATGCTGTTGAAATGAAGACAGTTAGTTGTTGTTTGCCTCGCAGATATGCCTGTCACTTTTTGCAACATGAATTCAGTGTCCCGTTAATTGTGAATGAGCATTTCAGACAGTTTAGGTGTTGAGAGTGAAATTAGCAGGCTCAGAAATTAATCTCTGTTTCAGGGTTTTTTGCATCATGACATTTATACGAGCTAATAATTGCTCCATTTCAAGCAAACTCTGGTTTAAACGTGTTAATGGGACACGTTTGCGCTTGCTTGAAGATGCAGTGTAAGGGCTTTAAAATCAGTGAGGTGAGTCTTATAAACACAGCTTTTTAAAGTTATCTTGATGATGTCTGAAGTTTTTGCTTTTTACAATA